CTCTTCCTCCTCTAACAGATTTTATAAGCAAAAAAAACGAGACTAGAATAAACACTAGAGCTTTAACCAGAGGAGACTGTAATGTTCAGCGGCGTAGGACCAAATTTGGCCAAATGGTTGCATCCATCAGAGGAGCATTTATGGAACACACTGCCAGCTCATGTTAGGGGCTGTGGGACCTACAGACGTTTTAAATTCTCCTTGAAACTTTGGTTGAAAATAAAACGGACATGTGTTCACAGGTAAATTGATCTGTTTCCATGGGCCTGTTAACCTCCTTTTATTTAATGTTCACTGTTTTTACCTGCCTTAGGACAGCGGATGCAAATTAGCTGTTGTACTAATTCTGGCACATTGAAGCTTTATGCTGACATGTTGATGAATGTGCATTGTTCCTAATTCAAATAAAAAAAAATTAAATTAAATTGTTGGCCCTTGGGGGGGGGGGGGCTGAGACACACTAACCTTATCAGCGTTCTGATGGCATTTTAGCCATTTTTATCAAAAACATTATTAATGTGCAGAAATAAGGAATGCTTCTGCTGCTCCTGTGTTCGATGCCAGAGAGCATGTTCGCATTGCTAGCTAAAAGCCTGTAAGGCTGGCAGCAGGTGGAGGGAAAGGAGAGGAAAAGTCAGGAGCAACCAGAAGGGTCACCAAGCGCTCCTGTTCAGCCTCTGCAGGATGAAGCTGCTCTGAACTCAGGAGTGGAAACCATTCTAGGATTGTGATCATGAAAGAAGAAGAACCAGAGTTAGTAGAACAGATCTGCTTTGAGACTCCAGCTTCATCATGGTGGCGTTTTATCAAAGGGAACATAAACTGGGCACCAAACTGGATCCAGGGGAGGAACCATAACGGCGCCCAACGCCCAGTGAGATCATCAGAACTCCTGTTCCTCATCTGCAGTAAACATGCAGGCTGCAGCGCCAGGGTTCAGCAGCAGGGGCGCCGTCCACCGCCGTGCCGGCAGCAGGCCAGGCTCAGATCAGCGACTTCAGCTCCTCGTCCGTCAGCCGGTTGACCTCCATGATCTTGGTCAGCTGCTCGGCATACCGGGCCTGGTCCTGCATGAAGTGAGGGATGCGGACGTTCTCCATGTGGGCGAGAGCTTTCAGGCGATCCACGTCTTCAAACGAGACCTGGATTCATCACAAAAACACGGGACAGGTGTTCAGACGGGCTGCTCTGATTGGACGCTCAGGATTCCTCTGAGCTTCGCTCTGCGTGTGACATGCATCATCTACTGTGACTGCATGTCGCTGCTGAGGGGGGGGCGGCTAGAACCGGCCGCGGAGCAGAACCTTCCAGATCTCACCTTGCCCAGCGCCATCAGCAGCGGGAAGTCGATCTTGTCTCTGTATCTCAGGATCTTCAGAATGCCCTCCAGGTAAACCTGGTCTTTACTGAAGCATCCTGCAGGAGGGGAGCAGAAAGCATCAGTTCAGGTGGATCACAGAACGTAGGCGGCCGTCAGCCCCGCCGGCGCCGTACGTACCGGGCCGGGCCGTGTCGCTCTGGCCCCTCTTGGCGCGGACGCAGTAGTCCCAGCGGGTGATTGGGTCCTGGACAAAGTGTCCCAGCTTGTGGAAGAGCTGGGAGAAGGACATGCGGCTGGCCTGGTAGACGGTGTAGTAGAGCAGAGCGGCGCGCCACAGCGTGGGGTCCTTCCTGAACAGGACGCTGTGGATGGACGCCAGGCCCTCCTCCGTGGGGTTCACCGGCTTCAGGCTAAGCCTCTTCCTGCCGCCGCCGCTGCTCCACACCTGCTGGAGGTTGTTGATGCTCCGGAAGTAGTGGGTGCCTGAGGGACAGAGACAGGAACACGGTTTGGTTACAGCTGCGGTGGGCCCTGCCCCCAGTACCATGCTGCCACCACCGTGTCTAACAGCGGGTCATGGATCAGAGAGCAGCTCATTGAATGTGTCTCCTGAAGGCTCAGCAGCAGGAAAGAGAAGTGGAACAGATCCAGAGGTTTGATCTACGGACCGATTACATCACAGCGGCACGCTGCCCCAGTCCACCAGAAGGAGGCATCCGCAGTATCCTACATTTCCCAGCATCCATTGCAGGTCCAAGTGGATTGGTCCAGCCTCGGCAGCCATATTGGCCACCTTGGTACTAACTGTTCACATTTTCTGTCTTTTCTGATAAAACTCCAACAGCTACTGTGTTTATTTAGCTCCGCTTCCTCGCCTCGGTAGCTGACACTCATCTATTCATTCATTCATTCATTCATTCAATCATTTGTTCATTCATTGATTCGTCCCTTGCTTTGTTAATTAATTCATCCTTTATTAATTGATTGATTCATTAATTCATTTATCCCTTGATTTGTTCATTCCTTCATTTGTTCATTCATTGATTCGTCCCTTGCTTTGTTAATTCATTCATCCCTCATTGATTGATTCATTCATCCATTCATCCATACATTAATTCATTCATTCATCCCGTGATTTGTTCATTCATTCATCCATTCTTCTAGTGATTCATTCATTCGTTGATTCATTCATTCATCCATTCATTCGTTCATGCATTCAT